AAGTGTCCATCATCGTATGAATGGATAAAGAAGATATGGCACATATATACAATGGAATATTACTCAGCCATAAAAGGAAACGAAATTGAGATATCTGTAGTGAGGTGGATGGACCTGGAGTCTGTCATACAGAGTGAAGTAAGTCAGAAAGAGAAAAACAAATACCGTATGCTAACACATATACATGAAATCTAAGAAAAAAAAAAAAAAGGTCATGAAGAGCCTAGGGGTAAAACGGGAATAAAGACACAGACCTACTAGAGAATGGACTTGAGGATATGGGGAGGAGGATGGGTAAGCTGTGACAAAGTGAGAGAGTGGCATGGGCATATATACACTACCAAACGTAAAACAGATAGCTAGTGGGAAGTAGCCACATAGTACAGGGAGATCAGCTCAGTGGTTTGTGACAACCTAGAGGGGTGGGATAGGGAGGGTGGGAGGGAGGGAGATGCAAGAGGGAAAAGATATGGGAACATATGTATATGTAAAACTGATTTACTTTGTTATAAAGCAGAAACTAACACACCAGTGTAAAGCAATTATACTCCAATAAAGATGTTAAAAAATAAATAAATAAATAAATAAAGGCAACACAGTAATGCACAGTAAAGTTAGTTTAAATTTCATGTGCATGTCACAGTCAACTGAATTGTGCTTGGCAATGGATATTTTCCAAGGAACAGAAATGATTCAACTTACAAAATAAAACTCCAGCTTGAGAAATACAAGCCAGTACAAAGAAATTGCAAAAGCACATTTTATTACTCAAGATTTTAGAAGAATATGCTAACCTGAAATTTTTTCCTAAGTGGGGGAAAAAAGAGTTATCTAACAAAACCCCTATTTTCCTACTGTGATCTATTGTAAATATACACTCTCTTCAAGCCAAAAGAATTAGAGTAAAAAGTTTTATACTTCCTGGAAAACTTGTTTGATCTGTGGATTTAATCCTATATGATAAAAATGTTCCAAGTATGAAATATAGAGTATAGATCCTTAGCTGTATTGCAAATGCTTTGGCATGCAGATTTTTTCCCGTATTTTAATGAAAACCAGATTTATTTATAAGTTGCTTTAATTTCATTCTCGAATGGCACAAGAGTATCATATGTTCTGAATTAGGATCTTACTCACATCCCATATCAATTATGTAACTCAAATGCAAGACAACTTAATTGTGTCAATCATATTCCGCTGACAAGATCATTAAATGTTAACAGAGAGCTTCCAACTTTTAACAGCCATAGATTTTTTGAATATAAGTTATTCTATGAAAAATATAGATGCCTCATAAAAATTTGGTATAAGTATTATAGCTTCTGACTTCTAATAATAATTTTTGAAATTAGGATATGAAAATAAAGTTTCTTTTTGATAACATCTTTATAAAGGTTTAGTTTTCACAAAGGCACATCAAATCTCATGGATAACACAGAAAATAAGCACAACAGAAAATTCTTAACTGCAATGCATTGTAATTCGAACCCTAAAAATATATCAGTATCAGATTAATCTCACAGAAGAAATATTGCTCTGTAACTCTACCTAGAAATAAACTGCCCAGATAGTTAAATCAATTACCATAACATTTGTGTCTTAATTATTTTACAGCATTAAGGTTTAAAGACTAATGATTTAACTGCATTCTAACCAATTAATATAATTAGTCACTTACTAATGCTTTTCAAAACTTTGAAATCCAAAATAAGTGAATATACATTACATTTAAAACAAGATGAGGCCGTTAAAAAGATGTGCAATTTTAAAACATCATAACAGAGATGATGCAAACTGGCCACAGTATTTTGAAGTATACAGTTTTAAAAATTCATTTCTGACATGTAAAAATAACATTTTTATCAATTTTCTACTAATATGAATAAGATGGAGTTAATTTTTATTTGTTTCTTTAAACGAATCAGAGGAAAAAAACCAATAAAGTAAATGACAACTGATTTAAAATGAAGCTGTGGTAAAAGCATCACTTTTAGAAAAAGAAGACTTAAGTTTCAACAGTTCTGTCACATACTACCTTAATTATTTCTAAAATTTTATATGTATTTTTGTCCTTGTGATATATGACAATAAAAAAGAAAATAAAGAGAAGTCACCAAATTCAGGACCAAGAAAAAGGAGAACACATGTGACAACTAGTAGGATTAACATAGTTTATGCAATACATTCAAATATGACTCTGACCTTCCTGGCAGTCAGAGCAACTAGGGAAAAACTACCTTTATATAGTTATTATTACTGGAATTCCTTCTGTTTTTTTTTTTTTTTTTTGAGGTATAACTGACATATGACATTATGGAGTTGCTTAATTCTCCACATTTACACTATGCTATCAGCTTACAAAAGCATGTATATTTATAATATCTTATTTGGTCATCTCAACAACTTTGTTAAGAAGGCAGTACTGGCACCACCATTATGCCAGATGAAGAAACCTCAGGCCCAAAATTAAATTATATGACCAAAAGAAGTTAAATTAATTTCCTGAGGTTACTGAATATGAAATGGAGAGAATTTACTCTTAGTCTAACATTCTTTATTTCACCTCTTATTGCCTTGAGTTCTTAGCCCTAAATTATAAAAGAAATTTACTGCATAGAATTAAAAAAAAATTTTTTTTATACAGCAGGTTCTTGTTATCTGTTTTATACATATTAGTGTATATATGTCAATCCCAATATCCCAATTTATCCCGCCATGACCCTGCTCACTGCCGCTTTCCCCCTTTGGTGTCCATACGTTTGTTCTTTGCATAGAACTTTTTGAGCAATAGAAGTTGCCCTCAATATTTTTACAGCAAATACAAAAGCAAATTTCACATAAGTATGTCATTTAGCAACTGTTGATCAAAATAAGAGCAAAAAACTTAAAAGTAACTAGATAAAACTATAGATAAAGTAAAAAACAAGGTAGTTGTATCTGATGTGATAGTGAATGTGGAAACCTATACAAAGTGCTATACAAAGGCACAATATCTTCCAGTGATGAAAAATCATTAAGGACTTCTACTTACCTTTTTTCAATCACATATTCTTGATGGTTCCTATTCAGATTTAAACTACACCATATTTTCCTTATAAATATGTATTTGCAGTTGTCTAAGTAGAATTCTTTTATGGAAGCCAACTTGTAAAATCTAAAACTCAATTTTGAAAACTTGCCCTGCAGTCCAGAACAAGTTCAAATATTGGAGCAAAACAACCAAACATTTAAATCTAAAAGTCTGACAGGTTTTAGTGTTGTGGTTTAGAAACTATATATAATAATTTGATGACAATTAAAAGGATTCATTTAGTCTTTTCAAGTTTATTTTTCTAAAAATTTCATGTTATACATAGTAAAAGGAAAAGTATAATTAATTTGGGTTTTTTCTGCTATAAAAAAGAGATGAGTCAATAGTCTTCAGAACCCAGTATTGTTTTTTTAACATCTTTATTGGAGTATAATTGCTTTACAATGTTGTGTTAGTTTCTGCTGTATAACAAAGTGAATCAGGTATACGTATACATATATCCCCATATCCCCTCCCTCTTGCATCTCCCTCCCACCCTCCCTATCCCACCCCTCTAGGTGGTCACAAAGTACTGAGCTGATCTCCCTGTGCTATATGGCTGCTTCCCACTAGCTATCTGTTTTACATTTGGTAGTGTATATATGTCCATGCCACTCTCTCACTTCATCCCAGCTTACCCTTCCCCCATGTCCTCAAGTCCATTCTCTACGTCTGTCTTTATTCCTGTCCTGCCCCATTTTTTTTTTAGACTCCATATATACGTGTTAGCATACAGCATTTGTTTTTCTCTTTCTGACTTACTTCACTCTGTATGACAGACTCCAGGTCCATCCACCTCACTACAAATAACTCAATTTCGTTTCTTTTTATGGCTGAGTAATATTCCATTGTATATATGTGCCATATCTTCTTTATCCAATCATCTGTCGATGGACACTTAGGTTGCTTCCATGTCCTGGCTATTGTAAATAGAGCTGCAATGAACACTGTGGTACATGTCTCTTTTTGAATTATGGTTTTCTCAGGGTATATGCCCAGTAGTGGGATTGCTGGGTCATATGGTAGTTCTATTTTTAGTTTTTTAAGGAACTGTTCCATACTGTTCTCCACAGTGGCTGTATCAATTTACATTCCCACCAACAGCACAAGAGGGTTCCCTTTTCTCCACACCCTCTCCAGCATTTACTGTTTGTAGATTTTTTGACGATGGCCATTCTGACTGATGTGAGGTGATACCTCATTGTAGTTTTGATTTGCATTTCTCTAATGATTAGTGATGTTGAGCATCCTTTCATGTGTTTGTTGGCAATCTGTATATCTTCTTTAGAAAAATGTCTATTTAGGTCTTCTGCCCATTTTTGGATTGGGTTGTTTGTTTTTTTGATATTGAGCTGCCCAGTATTTTTAAAATAAGAAAGGAGAAGGGCAGTGTAATATGGTTTAGTATTGTTTAAAATATTGTTGAAAAACAGGAAGTGAAACAAATTTTTTCTAATAATGCTGTATAACAGGATCTTACACAAGTATGTTGTAACGTTATCACTCTGATTTATCTTTATCACTATGGTTCGCTGAAAAGTGGCAGCAGTATTATCCACTCCCCTCCTCTAAGACCTTTACTGTCAGTACTTTCTGCCTTCCCCCATCCCCCACCCAATCTTTCATATCCAGAAATTTCTCCTTTACTCTTCTCCAAGAGCTGGCTCATACCTGTCCTGCCCTTTCATGCCCCCATGGAATGCAAGAATTACACTAGCACATCAGAGGGTTCACAGTGCAGTGCTCTGCACATAATGGAGCATCACTAGACATCTGCAGAGTGTTTTCTTCTCTATTATTACTCTGCCTCTGCCTAATTTGTAAGTGTCTTGAGGGCAGGGGCTACATTTATTTTACTTCCCACAAGGGCTTAATATATATTTATTGAATTAATAAATGAATGGATACAATGTGAAATATTTTTTCTTACCCACTATGGTCTCCAGACAAAAATTCTGAAATAGCAGCAGGAAGCTCTGTTTTAATAATTAAAAGATAAGATGACATAGCTGCAAACAGAATAAAAAGAGTTCCTATAAGAATTCTATAATTTTTAACCATTTAGAGAACAATCTATCCAGAAATATGGATGTCCATTTGGGCTATAACAGCATGTGGAAGATTAATTCATACTGCACTATCCTCAAAGATAGATATATACCAGGAATGGAGATAAAATGGAGATAAATAACTTTGTAGAGAAGAATAATTGGTAAGCTCATTAGGTGTCTTTTGTTTACATTTCAAGTCCAAGGCAAATGATTTAGGTAAAAGAAAGGGTCTTGATTAGAGGCCACTTATAAATGAAATTTTGCTTGAAGTTTGGCCAAAACTCTTAATGTTATTTCTCTGTCCAAGGCATTAGCGGTTAGTTTAGCAACATTTGATATAGATACAGGAGATAAATAAGTACAGCTAATAATTTTGATTATTTGTTCTTTCTTACTAGAGAGAGACCTCCCCCCAGAAGTCTCACTTCCTCTCTCTCCTTTTCTCTGCCACTGTCCTCCCACACACATTTTGGACACTTATTAAAAAACAGTAACAAAATGCACAGTGAGTTACATTTTAAGTTGTCCTCTAAAACAGATGAGAAAAGATTCAATTGCAACTATTAAGCATATTAAATAGACAAAGCTTATAACTTTTATTCCATTTTATTAACAGGGCTCATCTGTATTATGCAATCAAAACCTGAAGCTAGCATTATTTCTCACATTCTATCAGACAGGATCCAAGAACTTTTATAGCATTTTAATAATGATCTTATTTCTGGTATAGCTATAAAAATACCCCACATCTTATTAACATTCCATCATACACTAGGAAATGTTTAATATGGTTACAGAATACAGAACTCATTTATATGTAAATACTTGAGTTTAAACTTAAATGCTTCAGTATATAGAAACCCAGATGATTTAGAGTCAGTTTAACAGAGTAATAATCTCTGTTTCCCCCAGAGATTAAGTATATATTAAAAAAGAGCCAACAAGAATATGTCCATGAAGAATAGAGTGTACTCTGTGTGCATGTTAATTTTATTACTTATTTATATTTCAGGAAACATTTCACTTTCTCCTTGGACCTACAAAAACTAAGAACACAAATGAATGCCAAGGCTGAATGGCAAAAATCTGGGGAAAAACTGATTAAAAGGCTCAAAGAGTTTAAGAAGAAGAATGTATGTTTCTCAATAAACATATTTAAAAGTAGCTGAACTTCACAATTATTACAGTGCTGTGTGACCACTCGATCCTGGGGGGAAAAAAGCATATATACTAGTTTGTGTATAAATTTACATGAAGATAGGCAACGCTTACGTATACAAACACATACACTCTCTCTTTTTTTTTTTTTTGGTAAAACAACATGTACTTATGGCAAAGTAAAATTTAGAACAGTTAAGTAAATAGTCACTTCTCTGCAATGAAAATATACATATTCACATTTTCCAGTTTATGACTATTTCTTTTTTCCCAGCAGAAGTACAGCTGTTGAAATAAAGCCTTTTCCTCAGCAGAAGTACAGTGCATTTCTCCAAACTCTCTGTTAGTTACGGGACATTACAATTAATCGTATGTGAAAAGGTATTCTAAGTTGTTCATATTCTCATAAGGAAAAATGCTACCAATTTGGTACAGAACAGAAGGAAGGTTTAGATTAACCTTCTCCACTAAAGGATTTGGGGGTCTTTGTTTATAATACTTTATCTATTCCAAAGAATCATACACATATGGTGTGATGATGAAAATCATGAACTGAATATTCTGAAACTGGCCTAGAGCTACTTAAATATATCTTGCAAGGAAAAAAAAAAAAGTACTTGAAAACAAGGAATGCAGACTTCCTACACAAAGTAATTTATTATCTGCCCATCAGTCTTTCTTGCTTGGATTAATCCAATACCACATGCTTTTCTAAAGTTTCAGACATTCATCTCTTTCAGTAATTTTCTATTATTTCTTTTAGATCTTTAGTTGTAAAAAGCTTCAATGAATATGAGATCATATTTCTTCCTAATATACAATCTGTCATTCTTCCCAGAATTTCTATTAGCCCCTGGCTAATCATTTGATCACTTTTATCCTCTGTTGTAGCCTTAACTCTTTGGTTTTCAAATGGGAGTCCTATTTCATTAGATTCCAGTCTGAAGAATCATGTATATTTCAAGAAATATGAACTCACCAAACATATGTTTCTCTCTCAGAAAAAAAAATCTCAGCATATAAGATATAAATATAATAAAACATGTAAAATACTGCTTCTTAGAGAATGCTGGTGTTTGTTTTAAGAGCTACAAAACCACAGAGCTCATGATGGGGAAAAACTCCACTGATTAAGCAAGTAAAACAAAGAAAGACACTATCCGTTTCACTGTCTAGATTATTTTTTCCTAACCACAAGGAAACTTTCATGCAAGGACTAGCACCTTAACATATTATATGTAGTACAGAAACAAACAAAAATTACTGAATATACATTAAGTTAGGAATACATCTTAGATTTACATAAAAAGAACAGTCAGTTCAATAAAATAAAGGGGAAAAGTTTTAAAGATACAAATTCAATAGGAATGCTCATATATCCATTGTTTTTAACACAAAGGTTCACTAGCTCCAAAAGCTGCTTGCCACACCTTTCATCTCATGTCTTCTATTAATAGCATAAGGAAGTATTTAAGGACTTATCTTAGAGACAGGTCATAAGCAAGAACTTGTAAGTGATTTTTGCTGACATCGATACACAGTATAGACTCCTAATACAAGACACACCATGTTGTCCTTTAAATTAATAGCTGTAACAGGGTCATCCACAAGAGCCATGGTTATAGCTAAGTGGTTCTGGCCTTCATACCACCAAAGCCAGAATTAGGGCTAGAAGACATACCTTGGTGACAGGTATTCAACCATTACAAATCATTTAGTTTCACCATATTAACTAAATAGGTATTCTTTTCTCCTTCATTTTAAACATCACAAATAGAACTCATTTAATAGAAACTGCCCTGGGAGGGAAATAAAAAATCTGTCAACTTAATCAAAACACAGAAGTTGAAAGTATTCTTTAAAAGCCATGTGGAGAAGCAACTGTTCTATTAAGAAATGACTAAAATAGGGTAAAATTTGATTAGGCAATAGCAAGTAGCAAGGTATTAATATTGGTTGATCTAATCATAAAGAGAAACACATGAGTTGGGAGCATGGCGGCTGAGGGGAGAGATGTCAAAAACACAAAAGGGAAAAGTGCTCTGGAGGAGAAGAATTATAAGAACAGCCAACATTTGGGGGCTTAGTATGCCTGTTCTAAGTGATTTGCAAGTTATTTCCTCATTTAAAGTTAAGTTTAAATTTATTTCCTCACCACGAACCTGTGAGGTAGATATTATTTATTTCACAGGTGAGGAAATGGAGGCACAAAGAGGTAACTTGCCCAAGCTAGTGATGGTGGAAGCAGCCCATCTGGCTTGAGAAATCTGCACTATTAACTGTTACGCTGAGAAAGTGCAGAGAAGCAAAGTGGAGAAGAAATCCACCACAGGAAAAAGAAATAAGAAAAGTCTATCAAAAGGACCACTCCCCAGCATTATTCTTTTTTCTTTTCGTCACCATTTAAACAACAAATTGCTTCCGAATGCTCAGTTTAGCAGTTGGCTTCAAAGAAAATAAAGAATTTCTACAACACAGAACATTAGCTAGAAGCGTTAAAAACACTTATAATGTTCATTTCACTTTGAGATGCATTTTCATTTCAGTTTGTAGCTGGTTTGGTAAAGCGTTTAGTCAAGATTCCTCAGACAGACTAAGGAGTTTCATGATAGGACTACTGCATTTACCACTATGATTCTATTGCATCTACAGCTATTACTGTAGTTCGGAAGAGAAAGTGTCCTGTTCTCACATATTTGAGATATTAACACTACACTGAAATTGAAAAAAATTAATACAAAAACCAGTTCTTCTTCCCACAAACCCTGTACTCTCATAGGCTACTTTTCCCAGGACTCCCTTAAAAAAAAAAAAAAAAAAAAAAGACAAAGCTTCAATTGGATTGTGGACCTAAGAAACCATTAATTTACAAAAATAATTATCCTTTTTGTTAAACACTTAAAAACACGTATGAAGATAAGATTATGTGGATCTATTTTTAAAACAGAATTAGGTTTTCAGCACTTGGAAGAAGTTCAGCAACTTCTTGAAGGATTAGTCAGCCAGCTCTAAACAGATGTACTATGGGAGGAAATAATAAGTTTGCCTTTCCTTCTAAGAGAGATTCAGTTTTACTTCAAACATGTTTTTAGTCATGGACAGCAACTGGTTTATTCTATTTAATGTGTCTTATTAACCTGGTGTTCCTACTAAATGTCCAAATGCCACTGAAATTATATCTCCATTCAAAATAATACACAACACCATCACTCTCATTTTTAAAAAAGACTTTAAAAAACTCTGAAAACAAGGTCATTTCCCTAATTTGTGCACAAATGGAAATCAAAAATATATGGAGGAACTTTTCCACCCATAACCCTAGGAAAATATATATCTTTGTTTTACTATTTATCAAGATCTTAAACTTGAATAAAAACTGACCAGAATATTTACTATTCTGAGAACCCTATAATTAAACTTCAATTAACAATTGTCACTAAGAAATACGTTATTTTCAAAACCTTTTTAAAGTGACATGTAACCAGTAAATTTTGTCAAAGGAAGGACTTGTAAGAAATACTCCCCTTCCAAATTTCCTTTATTTCTCCTATTCTAAGACAGTGCTTTCTAGAATTTCTGGACAATACTATTCAGGCCTCAAAAAAGCCGCAGTTTGACTACAGATGAGATGACCAGCAGATGGCGTTGTAACAGCACTCCCAATCCCTGTATCCCAGGAGATGGTACAAACCAGTAATTCTAAAAGACTTCAGTTACCTTACCAAAAAAAAAAAAAAAATACACACACACACACACACACACACACACACACACACACATATATATTTCAGTAAGAAAGT